AGTCATGGACGACGCAATGATATTCCGTATGAGTGCATTTTCCGAGCAAGGAGGGAGAAAATACATGGAGGATGTTGTCGAGATAAGACTCGAGTACGAGCCGACGCCGACGCCAGCCGAAGATTATCCAAATTCTCAGAGACACGGTGGACCGGGGAAAGCGGAAAGTGAAGCTATCAAACAGACTCAGAGTGAGACCCACGGACACGAGGTTTCCGCCGAGTCGAGTCCAGCTACTGCAGCGTGGACAGAGTGTTTATCAGACGGGAATAGCGACAACATCAGTGCACCAACATCAGACCAAAAAGACGCGGAAAATCTAGTTGATACTCGAAGGTCCGTGGCGTTTTTCGCCGTCTTCGATGGCCACGGGGGCCGAGAAGCAGCGCATTTCGCCAGGGAGAATCTGTGGGGTCTGCTGAAAAGGCAACGGGGGTTTTGGTCGAAGGATCACAGCGAAGTGTGTACCGCTCTACGGAAAGGCTTCATCGCTTGCCACCACGCAATGTGGAAAGAGCTACGTGAGTCATCCAAGTTATCTAACTTGCACTTTATTCCCTCATATTTTTTCGCTGGTGATCTTTATTGCAGCACGACGGGCATAAAATCTAACAATTACAAGTATCGGCATCTTAGATGGCAAAATGCTGTCACGTGAGGCAGCATCCCACTCAGCTGGTTGCTGGTGGCTCCCCCGACGGCCAATCCCGTTACAATTAACAGCGAGCTGTCATCTGACCTCGACTCAGCCTTCGAGGCTGTCACAATATGATGTTGATATGATAGGATGCAAAGACATTAATGGATTGGATTTATATAGCGCTTTTCAAGGCACCCAAAGCGCTTTACAATGCCACTATTCATTCACTCTCACATTCACGCACTGGTGGAGGCAAGCTACAGTTGTAGCCACAGCTGCCCTGGGGCCGACTGACAGAAGCGAGGCTGCCATATCGCCCCTCTGGCCAACAGCAGTAGGCGGGAGGGTAAAGTGTCTTGCCCAAGGACTCAACGACCAGGACAGAGAGCCCGGGGATCGAACCGGCGACCTTCCGGTTACAGATGCGCTTCCCAACCCCCTGAGCCCGGTCGCCAAAGAAATTAATGGTTAAAACGCAGGGAAAATACTGTTTTAGAGATAATTTTTTCTGAGAACTTTCGAGGAAATATTCATAGTTTCATTATTTTTGATAAATGGAATGAAATGCAATTAACCACGAGTCAATGTTCAGTCTTTCCCAAATAGCATGGGACTGCGGGTTTTAAAGTATATATGGTAAGATGAGCTTTATGGGACTGGATTTTTTTTTAAAGTGAAAAAACCGTTTTCAGCTGTGTGCCCCCCGCCCTTAAAACACAGTCACACACTCTCTCTCACACACACAAACACACGATCTTCATTTCCTCCTGTAGGTGCTGTAAGAAGAGGTCACGAAGATGCAAAATCCACAGTTTCCTGTGGTTTCCCTAAAGGTTATAAGGCAGCGTAGAGGTTTTTATAAAATTTTATTTCGGGGTTCAAAAGTGAACATATGCCTCTCATTCTTATGCAAGCTGACCTTGTAATTTTTCTTTTTATGTAGTAGGCTGTTTTAGATATGAGCTTTCCAACTGTGATTCTGCCTAGATTTCTAATTCAGTTTCTTTTTTTGTTTTTCGATGCAGGGAAAAAGCAGGCCTGTATTTTTCTGTTTGTTTGTTGTTTTACAGTCAATGCATCTGTTTTTATTATCATACAATATTAACAAAAAGAAAAAAATACTCTTGCGTGCGACTTACGCAGGGAGCAGCTCCATTGGGAAGAGTTTAACATCATTATTTTCCAGTGCAACTTTAGGGGAAACAAACAAAACATATACCAACATTGATAATGGGACTCAATGAACTCAATTAAAACCATTTAAAACCACTTCCCTTTAGTTCTGATTGTGCTAACACCTTTATTGGATCAGCTTTTTAACTCACTGAAGCTTCATTCAGACTTGTGAATCTCTGTAGAGCCAACCGCATAACCTACATCAGCTTAAGGTTTTTATTTACAACTTATCTAAGGCATAGATTTAACACACAAACGGAAATCCACTGTTAATCCTTGCATTCGTTATAATTCTATGCTTCATAGGTCTGGAGTAAGTTTCTAAGTATCATATTCATAATGTTAATGTAACTTCTGCTTACCTTTTAATGTAACATTTCTTGTTATATTGGTACGCTTGTCTAGATTTTTTGCTAAGTGATCTCAGAAAGCTGACTTACATTTGACTTTTCTTTTCCCCTTACAGCTGAGTGGCCAAAGACTATTACCGGGCTGCCCAGTACATCGGGCACCACAGCTAGTGTCATTGTCATCCGTGGGGTTCACATGTATGTTGCCCATGTAGGGGATTCAGCTGTAGTGGTTGGAGTGAAAGAAAATGACTCTGACATCACGCTCCAGGCACTTGAAGTAACACAAGACCATAAACCTGAACTTCCTAAAGAGAAGGAAAGGATTGAACGACTTGGTGGCAGGTGAGTCATGAACAGAACCTCAGAGAACTTCTTCTGTGAGGAACTTGTCAAGACTACAGAGTTAGAGGCTCTGTCAGATAGCCAAATAATAAATGTAAGGTGGCTCTCGCTCAGGAGGTAGAGCAGGTCACCTACTAATCAGACGGTTAGTGGTTCTATCCCCGTCTGCTCCAGTCTGCTACAGTAGAAAAGCACTATATAAGAACCAGCCCATTTACCATTCAAATCCAGGCATTTGTTCAGTTCCAGCATTGCTGATCTTCTGTCAAGCTTAAATGTCTTTTGGATAACTTGTCCATGTATTAAACACCTTTTGTTACCAATGTCTGAAAATATTTTAATGTCTCAGTGGGTTGCGTCTTATACCTTTAAGCCACATGTTGGCTGGTTGGCTTCTCAGTGGAAGTTCAAAAGCTGTCTTGATTGTGCTTGTTCCTAAACTGGCTAATGATAATGCAGAAAAGGAGTCCGTTAATCATGAAATAAACATAGCCAAGTGTGCTTGGTCCCAGCATAAAATAGAATCCATTTAGCATTTTTCAATTGGGAACTTTAGAAACCCTGCTAAGGCTAGCTAGCTGCTGCTCCAGCTATTGAGCAATTTGCATTGGTTGCATATTAGATAATATTACTTTGCATTAACCAGATGATAAACAGTGTTATTGTGTTATTATAGTGTTATTATATTTCTTTCTTGTTTGTCTGTACAAATACGTGTGTGTGTATATCTACACATATATTCGTATCCGTAAATGAAAATACATGTAGACGAGTATATATTGTTTTTTTTTGTTTGTTTGTTTTATTATGTCTGAAATAAATAAAGATACATACATACATACATACATACATACATACATTATTGTAACCCTTCAGACCAAATGGGTATGGCTATTTCATCCAAACTCTTGAGACTGAACTGATACATCAGCTTGGGATTTTTCTAACTTTAGCTAGCATTTTTCATAATACTGACTACACTAAGCAGACATTCTATTAGGTACACCTAGTTGGTAGTGGACTGGAGCCACTTTCACCATCAGAACTAAAAAGTCTTCATGGTATAGATTCAGCAACCAAACATTCCTCAGACATTTCGGTCCTTGTTTACAAGATGAGCATCACAAGTTCAGCCATAAGCATCTAGATACATTGTTCTAAAGGGATGGACATGTTCATCAACGGTATTCAGGTTGCCTGTGGTGTTTAAATGATGCTCACTTGGCACTAAAGGGCGCAAAGTGTACCACAAAAACTTCCCCCACACACTATTGCACCACCAGCAGCCTGAATCACTGATACAAGGCAGGATAAAACCATGGTTTAGTGTTGTTTACATCAGATTCTGACCCTAACATTCATGGGTTGCAGGAGAAATCAAGGCTCTTCCAATCTTTTCTTGTTCAGTTTTGCTGAGCCCAGTGAACTGTAGCCTCAGTTTCCTGAGGCTTCTTAGCTCACAGGCCTGTCACTGGGTGTGGTCTTGTGCTGCTGTAGCCCATCTACTTCAGAGTTCAGTGTGTGGTCGATTTAGAACTGCTCTTCTGCATCATCTTTTTCTACCTTCGTTATAACCAGTGGTTATCTGAGTTAGTGTTGTCTTCCTATTAGTTTGACACAGTTTGGCCCTTTTTTTTTGACACCAACAAGGCATTTTGACCCAGTGAACTGCAGCTTGCTGGATTTCTTTTCTTCTTTTTGGGGGAGGAACCTTTGTATAAACTCTAGAGATAGTTGTGTGTGTGATCCTAGTAGATCAGCAGTTCCCGAAATACTCAGAACCCCTGCCACGTTCAGAGTTACTTAAATCACCGTTCTTCCCCATTCTGAAGCTTGGTTTGAAATTCAACAGTTCGTGTTGAGCATGTCTACATGCCTTAAACATATTGCATTTGTACTATGTGACTGACTGATTAGATATTTGCATTAACACTCAGCTGAACAGGTGTTCCTAACATAGTGGACGATGGGTGTATCTATAGCTATCTATAGCAATAGTCAGAGGGTGTTTGGCCAGCAAGTTGGAACTAACTAGATGTGTTTTGTTTTTTTTGATCATGTCCAAATCAGCCTAACTGGCATTGTGCAGGATTATATCTATCATCACTGTGTGAACACAAGCTGCAATTAACTGCAAGCAGTCGAATGATGACTGCAGTTCACTTGATGCGTGTGGGTGTCATTAATAACAATGATTTTGAGCAAAACCTTGTATTGAAGCGTTTCTTTGTTTTATTTTTGTAGTGTAATGAAAAAATCTGGGGTGAACCGTGTTGTGTGGAAGAGGCCCAGGCTGACCCACAATGGCCCTGTGAGGAGGAGTACAGTCATTGACCAGATCCCTTTCCTGGCCGTAGCCCGATCCCTTGGTGAGAAATTTAACTCTTTATTTATGAAATGTTTAAATGTAAGTGCACGATGTGAGTAATGGCCTTTTTTTTTTTTTTTTTTTTATAATCTATTTTTGGCGCAGTCCTGGGTATAAGGTGAGAATTGTATTAAAATGAAGTTAAACTTTTAGGGATTAATTCTGCTTTGCACTTAAGCAAAAAGATCTTGAGTGGCTTAGAGGTGGGAAACATTTATTTGAACCTCGTTTTAATTTTTTTTTTTTGGCTTTTCCTGTAGGAAATGACTTCAGTATTTAGGAAGGTCTTGGATTTGACATATCCAATCACATCCATGTTTTCTGGTGCTTCCTTCAACTCTGGCATAAACAACGTCTTCAAAAGCAAACAGATTGAGGTGAGCTAAATGACAGTAGGTGTGACCCAGCTGTTGGAATACTGATCTGAGGCCAGTGTAAATTCTGTGTCATGTAGGACCTTTGGATCCCATATTTCAATATCACAACTGACATCACTGCCTCTGCCATGAGAGTACACACTGATGGTAAATACAGTGTTCAGTTTATTTATTTTGAAAGAATCATTCTGGTCTTGATTGAGTTTTCTGAATTGTTTTTTTGTGGTCATAGATGAACTGACTCTTTTTAATAGTCTGATTAATTTTCGGTTGATTCATATTGGTTGCTTGCAGTTAGGCTTTATGCCTTTTAAGTAAGTTTAAGTTGCTTGTTTGTTATTTGAGGTTCTCTATGGCGGTATGTCCGTGCTAGCATGTCTCTATCGGGATATCTCCCTCCTCTGTGTGACCCGAAAGATGGACACCTGCTGATGGATGGAGGCTATATCAACAACCTGCCTGGTTTGTTACATTCAGTTTGTACCTTCCCTTATTAAGTATTAAAAGTAGCCGTACTTTGATGTAGTTGCTCAGCTGTTTGCTTATAGCAATATATTTTTAATTTTACCAGTACTGTATGCTGTTTGTCTTGATGTCTTCTTCCCCTGATTCTCCCAGCTGATGTTGCGC